AAAAAAAAAAAAAAAAAAACCTATCCAAATAAACCTTAAGATACAAATTTTTAAAGGCTTTATAAAATGTATACGTCACGGCAATTTTTCCATTGTCTTTTTCTTTTTTTATATAACGGGGTGGGTGACTTGGAGGAGTGGAAGGAAGGGGAAGTCAACTATTCCTTAGAAGCCAAAAATAAAAAGAGATTAGGGGCCAGGAGTAGTGGCTCATGCCTGCAATCCTAGCACTTTAGGAGGTTAAGGCAGGAGGAATTGCTTGAGGAATTCGAGACCAGCCTGGGCAACAGAGCCAGACCCCGTCTCTATAAAAATTAAAAATAATAACAAAATACAATAAAAAATTTAAAAAGTAATTAGGAAAGAAAGAGGCTAAAAAGAGGAGTGAGAAAAGGCAGCTAGGTCCTAAGCCAGTGTCAAAGTAGAAGTCATTAAATTTCTTTAACATATAAATGGATCTTTTTACTCATTATACAAAGTTTTTGCCATTTAAGTCAAGATGATGAGGCTTGCTTAAACCATGATATGCCCATATTGAATATCATTAAATATAAATGTGAAATAGATATATAAATATATGTATCCAACTGGTAACGAGTGGGATTTCAGGGAACAGAAATCTGCTTTCTGCATTTTACATTCCTGCTTTGTTTATTTTGTTTTGTTTTGGTTTTCGGAGACAGGATCTCAATCTGTCACCCAGGCTGGAGTGCAGTGGTGCAATTATAGCTCACTGCAGTATCAAACTCCTGGCTCAAGTGATCTTCCTGCCTCAGCCTCCCAATTAGCTGAGACTACAGGTGCATGCCACCACACCTGGCTAACTTTTTAAATTTTTTTTGTAGAGATGAGGTCTCCCATTGTTGCCCAGGCTGGTCTTCAACTCCTGGGCAACAAGCAATCCACCTGCCTCAGCCTCCCAAAGGTCTGGGATTACAGGCGTGAGCTACTTCGCCTGGCTTATGCTTTGTTTAAATGTTTTACTCCAAACATATACCACTTCCATTCTTATATGGAAGAATATACTCAAGCTACGTAAGATAACTACACATCTGTTATCCCACAATACTGAGTTTTCAAAACAAATAACCACTTTGCTAGACATCATTCTTCCAAGTTAAAAGGGGAATATAGTATTTTAAAATTCCAGATTCTGTTCCAATGCTAAAGGGAAAAAATGTTCTATTATTTTCTTGTTAGGCAATTACAATATATTTAAAGGAGCATGACAAGTATGCTCATTAATTTGGATATGCAAAGCCTAATTTCAGAAATGTGCCTTAAACCTACATGTAGAAAACAGTTTCCACAGGCTGGGTGCAGTGGCTCATGCCATTAATCCCAGAAATTTGAGAGGCCAAGTGTAGCAGATCACCTGAAGTCAGGAGTTCGAGACCAGCCTGGCCAACATGGCGAAATCCCATCTCTACTAAAAATACAAAACTTAGCTGGGCATGGTGATGGGAGCCTGTAATCCCAGATACTTGGGGTATCTTGAGGCTGAGGCACAAGAGTTGCTTGAACGGTGAAGACAGAGGTTGCAGTGGGCCAAGATGGTGCCATTGCACTCTAGCCTGGGTGGGAGAGGAAGGCTCCCTCTCAAAAAAGAAAAGAGTTTACACTGCAAGCCTCGCCGCTGCCCTTGGAAAGGCCTGCTACAAGATGGGGCCTTGGCTAGTTCTGGAAACTCTGATTTTGGGAAGAGGCTCACTGTGCTGAAAGTGTCTGTACAGACAACATGGTTTCTGCTAAGCATGGTTTCCTTCTGGGAGGCTCACATTTTGGGACATGCTAAGCAGAGGTTGCCTATGTGCCAGCCCCCAATAAAAACCCTGGGCTCCAAGCCTTCAATGAGCTTCCTTGGTAGATGGCAGTTTGCATGCATTATCACAACTCACTGGACTCCACCAGGGGAGGGCTCTTAGAAGCCTGCGCCTGGTTACCCCCAGACTTCACCCTGCACGATTTTCCCCTGGCTGATTTTGCTTTGCATTCTCTGGCTGTAATAAATCTTAGCTATGAGTATAACTATATGCTGAGTCCTGTGAGTTCTTCTGGTGAATCATAGGTCCTGGAGGTGATCTCAGAGACCCTTTAACAAAACTTGTCTCTCTGGAACATGTGCTATTGGCATGAATTACTGAGAGAGCTAAAAGACCAGGCCAGGACTTACCATCAGATTCAGCTTGTGGTTGATGGCCAGGGCTGAGTGTTCCAGGGCTTTGAACACAGAGGCGTAGCAATCTCTCAGCTTGGTATATTTGCCAACCAGGGCTATGGAGCATGTTTTCTGTAGCCTTTCATACCTGGGAAGGAAAACAAACTCAAAGGTTAAATGCACGTAACAGAACATCATAAACAGAACAAAGGCAGCTGCTGCTCTTATTGCAAGGCACTTCTGAAAGCCTTAGGAGCAGCTATCGTCCCAGCTACTCAGGAGGCTGAGGCAAGAGAATCACTTAAGCCCAAGACTTTGAGATCAGGCTGGGCAACATAGTGACACCCCGTCTCTACAAAAAATACAAAAATTAACCAGGTGTGGTGGTGCATGCCTATAGTCCCAGCTATTCAGGAGGCTGAGGTGGGAGGATCACTTGAGCCCAGGAGTTTGAGGCTGCAGTGAGCTGTGATCACACCACTGCCCTCCAGCCTGGGCAACAGAGTGAGACACTGTCTCAAAAAACAAATTCCAGTGTTGGCTTACATAAGCAGGTACAGATAAAAATTCAAGCACATCAAAGAAAAACTTAAACACCCTAAAAGTAAAAATTGAAAAGCTATCCAAATGTTATAAACACGAGCTGTTCTTAAATTAGTTAATAAGGTGACATTGTATAAGAAAATGCATTCTGCTTGTCAATAGGAAACATTCCAATATTAACTTTATAAGGTGACACTGTGTAAGAAAATGCATTCAAAGTCTCTACATTTAAAATGGTTACATTCCCAGCTGGCCCACCAGAGTCTGGTTATTCATGGCATGCCTGAAGAATAGTGCTAAGAGAACAATTTAAAATATTACTAGCCATTTAGATCATTTTTATGAGAAAAATTCCATTCTACAGAAGACATTCAATCACATTTTACCATTGGAGACACAATCTTTAGTGTTGCTTTTGTCAGGAAATCTGTTCAAAGAACATGAAAAATATCTGGTCTGGTATTAGGTACATGGAATGTCATCTTGGAGTTGAAGATGTTTTAGGGCTTTGAAGCAAACCCTTCCCCAAACACCTTAGAAAAATGTTACCATGATGACAAATATCCATCTTCAATATTAACATCTGCAAAGAGTGGCCAGGCGCAGTGGCTCATGCCTGTAATCCTGGCACTTTGGGAGGGTGAGGCAGGTGGATCACCTGAGGTCAGGAGTTCGAGACCAGCCTGGCCAACATGGTGAAACCTCATCACCACTAAAAATACAAAACTTAGCCAGGCACGGTGGCGTACACCTGTAGTCCCAGCTACTAGGGAGGCTGAGGCAGGAGAATTGCATGAACCTGGGAGGTGGAGGTTGCAGTGAGCTGAGATCATGCCACTGCCCTACATCCTGGGCCACAAAGCGAGACTCTGTATCCAGAAAACACATACACACAGACACATCTGCAGAGTGTATGAGAAAAACTTGACCACAAACAGGCTACATGCGGGAAAAATGCACAAGAAGCTAAGAAGTCAAAACTGACAGGGAAGATAACTTTCTAGAAAGGTGACTAAAATAGCTGAGACAAGACTGCTAACCCTTGAACTCACTACTTTATTTTATGTTACGCTCTGGAGGTTCCATAGCTGTCTGTACCTGACACCATATCTCCATAAAGTATGTAGGTAACAGGCCGGGCAAAATGGCTCACTCCTGTAATCCCAACACTTTGGGAGGCCAAGGCAGGCAGATCACTTGAGATCAGGAGTTCAAGACCAGCCTGGCCAACATGGTGAAACCCCGTCTCTACTAAAAATACAAAAAATTAGCCTCGCGTGGTGGCGCACTCCTGTACTCCCAGCTACTCAGGAGACTGAGGAAAGAGAAGCACTTAAACCCAGGAAGCAGAGGTTGCTGTGAGCCAAGATGGCGCCACTGCACTCCAGCCTGAGCGACAGAGTCAGACCCCATCTCAAAAAAAAAGGATGCAGACAGGCCAAGCGCGGTGGCTCACACCTGTAATCCCAGCACTTTGGGAGGCTGAGGTGGGTGGATCATGAGGTCAGGAGTTCAAGACCAGCCTGGCCAACATGGTAAAACCCCATCTCTATGAGCTGGGCGTGGTGGTGCCCACCTGTAATCCCAGCTACTCGGGAGGCAGAGGTTGGAGAATCGCTTGAACCCAGGCAGCAGATGTTGTAGTGAGCCAAGATCATGCCACTGCATTCCAGCCTGGGTGATAGAGTAAGACTTAGTCTCAAAAAATAAAATAAAACGAGAAAGGATGCAGGTAACAGAAAGCGGGATGACAGTACACCAAGTGGCAGAGATTATGTCAGAGGCAGGCACAGCCGCATTGGAGCACAACAGGTTGGGCCTCATCCCCTTCTCCCTCCTCCATAGACAGAAGGGACAACATCAGCTCTGGCCCTGGAAGGAAGCAGCACTGGAGTCAGTATCACAGGTTCCTCTTTCTGCTCATTCATGGCTGGTCTTCTCAGGGGAGGAGTCACTGGGCAGCAGGTGGGACAGGTGAGTCCACTGAGTCACGCCTACCAGGGAGCTCTCGTTCCCCCTTGGACCTGTACTTCCAAGAGCAACCAAGTGTCTCCCTCATGCACCCCACTCAGCCAGCCATCAGCCATCACCAAATGTGAGGCAAGCATCTGATACTACTTCAAGCTGCTGTGCGAGGGGGAAGGAGAGGGAGAGTCCTCTTTGCAGGGCCACCCCCAACAGGCAGTTCTCAAGAGAGATGAAGTGGAGGAAGTGGAGAAGTGTGCCCACCTTGACTTCAGGTCCCAAGCAAGCTATCCCCTGTTTAATCAGGGACCCCTGACCCTGAGCAGCACTGGGCCTCCATGATAGAGGCTGTTCCTTTGGCCTCTGTTTGCCTCCTTGCACCTCTCTACAGGCTGTACTGAGAGGACTGAAGCTAAAGAATGCACACTCCACACCAGTTAACAACGTTACCACCAACGTGACGCAGAATACCCATGAACAATGACTATCTCCTTTGCTGGAAGACTGTCAACAATTTATTGTGCATTCTTAAATAAATAAAAGAGTATACTTGGATTGTTTGTATTGCAAAGAAAGGATAAAGACTTGAGGTGATGGATATCCCATTTACCCTGATGTGATTATTACGCATTATATGCCTGTACCAAGTATCTCATGCACTACGTAAATACATACACCTACTATGTACCCACAAAAATGAAAAATTAAAGACTGTAGTGAGTTGAACGGTGGCCCCCCCCGAAAGAAAGTTGTCCCCAAAAACCTGTGAATGTGACCTCATTTGGGAAAAGGGTCTTTGCAGACATAAGTGAGGCTCTTCAGATGAAATCACCCTGGATTAAGGCCTGTCTTACATCCAATGACAAGCATCCTTACAAAAGAAGAGAAGGGAAGAAGACACAAGTGAGAAGGTGATGTGAAGATGCAGGCCAAAGGCTGGGCATGCTGGCTCATGCCTTTAATCCCAACACTTTAGAAGGCTGAAGCAGGTGGATTGCTTGAGCTCAGGAGTTTGAGACCAGGCTGGGCAACATGGTGAAATCATGTCTCTACAAAAAATACAAAGGTTAGTCAAGCATGGTGGCGTGCACCTGTAGTCCCAGCTACCTAAGAGGCTGAGGCAGGAGGATCACTTGAGCCCAGGA